CCCCCCCCCCCCGCCGTGCTTTGAGCAGTTCCCAAGAGGCCCCAGGGCAACTGATGTTAAACTGAGTTTCGAAGCAGTCAAGCCCTTGTCTTTAGATTCAAGGGGGATCTTGTCAAGAGAGGGAGACCTAGCTGATCTTACCTTTGGGGTTTGTCTATTGAGCAGGGCTCCACTGATCGCTCGTCTCTTCTTTGACCTCTATAGTCATATCTGTGAAGCAATGAACACCCACCTCGCTTCCCTCAGCAGAGGCGTAGAGGATGTGATGTGCAAGTCGCTATGAGGGCCATTCGAAGAAGCTGGATTTGCCATCCACGTGGCCACTCTCTGCATACACGAATCGTGCAGAAACGTCGGCACTCACCTCTGGCTGCTGTGAGTATGTTGGGAGAGCTGCACAAGTGAGGAGCTCCGGACCGATTCCTGGGGTATCCGACCTTGGCCAGAACCAACTCTTGCACAAATATAGGTGGTTTCCAGCTGAATGACTGCATTTTGTATCCGCGGGTCATTTATACACGTGGAGGCAGGTGATACATTTCTCCAACGAGACTTACTCTTTCTTCTATCCTTTGACGGGAATTTATAGCCAGAACGTATCTGGAGTGTCTTTGGGAGCATATTTACCTATCCTGGGAGCACCAGGGATGTCTCTCGGGTCCTCGTGAACGAAGCTAGTCCCACCAAATGTCTAACATGGAGCGTGAGAGTTGATGGAGATTTGGGATTATTTCTTCCAATCCCTTTGAGGGCCGAGCGGTTACGGTTTGAGACAAAGCTTTCTAGGTCTTTAACGCTTTTTACAAACGTGTCTGTATGCTCTCTAAATTAAAATGGTTTTCTTGGGGCGCCTGGGTGGCGCAGTCGGTTGAGCGTCCGGCTTCAGCCAGGTCACGATCTCGCGGTCCGTGAGTTCGAGCCCTGCGTCGGGCTCTGGGCTGATGGCTCGGAGCCTGGGGCCTGTTTCCGATTCTGTGTCTCCCTCTCTCTCTGCCCCTCCCCCGTTCATGCTCTGTCTCTCTCTGTCCCAAAAATAAATAAACGTTGAAAAAAAAATTAAAAAAAAAAATGGTTTTCTTTCTTTTTTAGACAGATAACATCGTTTAGATTAAGGTAATTCTCAGCCCGTTGTAACAACACAAGCATGAGCGGAAGGACAGTGACACCTTAGGTCGTCATGAAAATTGCTTGTGTCTGTGACTACAGCCCAGACACGCTGCCCCAACCCCCCAGCCCGAGGCAATTGTAAGAAAGCACAGGTCTAATTCTTTTTTGAAGCGGGTGGTCTGTGTTCGGGCCCAAGCCGGGATTCACGGGCCCAGCCACCGTGGGGGTTTGACCGGCTAGGACCACGTTTGGGACTGAGGAGGCTTCAGGGAAGAAGCCGTGTTCGGACGAGACCAGCTGGACCCAGCAGTGAAGCCTTGGTCACTGGAGGAGGGGGAAGGGGATCCTGAATGATCTGTGGAGTCTGTTGTTTAGATTTGCTCTTTGGTCCAGACCTCCCTGCGCGCGATGGAGGTGGAGGCCCATGAGTCGCACCGTTAAAAGGCTCTTTTGCTAAAACCCGAGAAAGCCCCAGAATATGCACGAAAAGGGGGAGGAGAGCTTCTGGATTTCACAGCACACCAGCACGCAGGGTCCTGGGTCTGGCAGGGATCGGCGGATTGCTTGGTGGGAAAGCTTTGTGCGTAAAAACTTAGAGAGAGAGCAGGCGTGAAGCCCTTCTGGTGTTGGGGGCGGGGGCCATGGAAGGAAATGGAGATTCTTCCTAGTGTAACCTCATCAGCCTGTTCAAGCTGGAGGGGTCTGGGCCATCTCCAGTTCCTCCAAGCGTGTTGAACTTCCGTCGCCGGGAGGGAACTAGCTCTCTCTGATGTTTCCCAGACCACAGCCTCTTCCAGTTTATCTCCTCAGCATCTGGAATGTTCCGTTTGGCAGGGGAGCGGCTTCTCTCGGTCTCCCTGCTGTAGTAGGTTTAGGAAACACCCGACTGTGTATTTTGTTGGCCCTTCCGGGTTGCTCTGTCACCAAGGCCTCGTTCTGACACATACCGGGGAGCTGTTTTTGAACAAAAATCTTGGGCTCCCGCACACCGCGATGGTATGTATCCATTCGCAAGTTCTATCGTTGCTGTTTCAACGGTTTAACCTGGGCTGCTTTTCGTTTTCACTCTGGCGGGTCCGTACGGGCCTCAAAGGGTCCCACGTTCTTCAGCGTCTCAGCCGGGGCCCCAGAGCACGTCTTGAAGATCAGGCTGCTTGCCAGATGAGATGCCCTGAAGGAGGGGACTGCGGAAACCCGCTATGCAGGTACATGCAAGCCAGATGTTTGGGGGTAGTTTGGGAGCTGTCTGCCTGGGATAGGAGGCCTGGAATTATGGACCTCAAGAATCAGGGACCTTAGTAGCAGTGCATGGGACTAACACAGCACGAACCGTTTTCTTTTCTCGACCCGAGGTCCTTATGCGGGAGACAACGACTTTCACGGTGGTCCCCTTGGCCATTCTGTTAGGACAGGGAGAACAAAACAGGTACCCTGAGGTAGGGCTTTTGACCCGTGGGCTTTGCTAAGGGTCCTCAGAGGAAGCCGACAAGTTCCCCGGGGCAGGGAATCCGGCACGGGAATCCCCATCAGGGACTGACGGTGCGAGAGAACACCGCAAGCGGGCATCCCGGGCCTGTGACTTCGCCCCACCGGCGACAGAGGTGGTGAAAAGATCCCCAAAGTGCTTTTGGTGAGGTGTGTGTGTGTGTGTGTGTGTGCAAATGTTTGCATCTAGACCATGTGGCTCTCTTCAGCCTTGGCTGAGTCATTCGTTCCTAGAAGCTCTTTGGTATCCCCACCCTTCTCGAGTGACCGCACATTTTCAGAGCCCGTGCTTCATCGGGGCCAGATAAGAGAGGACCGAACGAGAGATCGGAGGCGGGGAGTGCACGGGGACGGGGGATCTGCTGTGATCCGATGCGCTCAGAGCCCGACTGAAGCTCAGGCCTGGGTTTATGTTCATCCAGTAATCAGGAAACCTTTTCTCTGCCTCCTTCACCACTCCTCCCCCATCCCAACCTCTTACCGGGGACCCCGAGCCTCAGCCAGCTACCGAGGTCACACGACAGTGTCCCAAACCTGTCGGGTAATGGCTGGGCCAGGCCTGTTCCTGGACGGAGCGTGTATGTGAGTTTTCTCTGGGGCTTTGCTGATAGGCGGCATGCAGGAACACCTCAATTTTAGGTGGAACCCATGTTACCCCATGCTCTGTGCCTTGATCCTGACCATGACCCGATTTGCATACGGCACAGGGCAGAATAAACAGTGGCACGAAAAAGATATTGGAGGACTTGGGGTCGAGACCCCTATCTCTCCTTCTGGGCTCTGTATCCCAGGGGAAATAAAAATTGCTATTGCCCCCCTCCCGCCCCCCCCACCCAGGCCCCTCTAGGAAGAGCTTCTGGCTGGGGGGACCCAGCTCGTCTCACATCAACTCACTTCCTTCCTAGAGCCTGCTTGGGATTCTCTCTCTCCCTCTCTCTGCCCCTCCCGGCTCGTGAGCATGCTCTCTTTCTCTTGCAAAATAAATAAACTTTAAAAATTATGTAAAAAGAGGGGCGCCTGGGTGGCTCAGTCAGTTAAGCGTCCGACTTCGGCTCGGGTCACGATCTCACGGTCCGTGAGTTCGAGCCCCGCGTCGGGCTCTGTGCTGACAGCTCAGAGCCTGGAGCCTGTTTCCGATTCTGTGTCTCCCTCTCTCTCTGCCCCTCCCCCGTTCATGCTCTGCCTCTCTCTGTCTCAAAAATAAATCAAACATTTTAAAAAATTAAAAAAAATTTATGTAAAAAGATAAA